AATGCCAAAAACCTTTGCATGACATGTTCTAAAACACACAAACACCTTCAATAACATGAATACAAAACCCACTTCAAACCTTATGTTCAACACTTCATGAATTCACCATGCATGATCCAATTGACTTCAAATTCTTTTCCAAAACTCTCAAATCATGGAATTCAACTTAAAACCTTATGAATCATGGATGCATGTATGATATAACCTTCGATTTTAACATAGATGACATGAATCATGTTTAAAGTTATGAAACTAAACAAAACTATGCATGTATGAATTGACTTTAATTTCATTGTCCTTAGTTCAATTCTCACATTTAATCATATAATCTCTTGAATTCACATAATTGGCGACCTTAACTCATGAATTGAGGGTTAATCACATACCTAGAGTCTTGAATTAAGCTTGTAATAACAAAATCTTGAGCTTTTCTTCTCAATCTCCAAGTCTCTAGCCAAGATTCCAAGTTTTCTTTTCTCTCTCTCTAACTTGCTTTCACTTTCTCTCTAGAATTTCTCTTCTCAAAATTTGGAGCTCAAATTATGATTAAGGGTTTCAAACTCTTAATTACAACATATATATACATGAGGATTAGATTAGGGTATTGATTAAGGCTAAGATTAACTAATTACACTTAATTCTAGTTAGTTTAATTTAATCTGAATCAAATTTTAATTAAACTCCTCATTAGGCTCTAAAATTTATGTCATTCACAATGAACTAATCAATTTCGGTTTCTGACGCCATTAAGGCCTTAAATTTTAAACTATAACAGAAATCACAACAGTTATTCCGACGGTTAACAGATATGAATCCAAAAACCATATAAACACATATTTAGCATTCAAATTCACCCTAAGCACTTAAATAACATTCAAAATTAACGATTAAGAGCATAATACGCAACCGGGTTGTTACATTGATCATGTAAATCTTGAATTTTTAATTTGGTCAATTTAAACCTTATGTGTGAACGCCTAAGGAATAATCATTACATTTCATCTCATTTTAATAAACCAAATAGATCATAAGAGTTCTTTGAAAAAATATTATATGTGAAATATGTAGAAATTTAATGTATAAAGAGAAATGATTGTATTATTGATTGTTGTATTTATATTTATTACAATGATTCATGATTCCTATATATAGAAGAGGGTGAGTGTGTAGTAGGTAAGGGGTAGGTGAGGAGTAGGTGGAGAGTAGGTGAAGTAGGTGAGTGTGTAGTAGGTGGTAGTGGTAGGTGTGTAGTAGGTGGATTTTAACAGGCCCCCGCAAACTCAAGGGGGATAGGAACTAACCAACTTGAGTTTGGAGAGAGTTACAAAAATACATAAAAATAAAAGAGGATAGGAGACACTGTATGGTCGTGTCAGACCATTGGTGAAGACACTGGATGGTGGTGTCATAACGTTGTAGAGGACACTGAACGCCTAAGGAATAATCATTACATTTTATATCATTTTAATAAACCAAATAGATCATAAGAGTTCTTTAAAAAAATATTTTATTTGAAATAAAATGATGTTATATAATATATAGGTGATATTTGATAGTATTTATAAATTAGTTTTTCAGTTTATTGGTTTAAAAAAAAAATAAAATAAATAATGGTGTTTTGTTGAAATTTTTATTTGAATTTAACGGTCTAAAGATAAAATTTGAAAAAAGAAGGGTTTTTTTTTAGCCAATAAATCAACTTTCCCAACACCCACTTAAATTACATTTTTTAATATAATTTTTTTTAGTTTATCATTCGACCCGTGCCTTGCACGGGCCTTTTCTACGTAATATATATATATGTGTGTGTGTGTTTGTGGGACTTATCATTTTACTCACAAACTTATTATATTTTATTTTGTAAATATGTAAGAGGGCCCAATCTTAAAAGTTCGACTTGGGGCCCATAAAACTCAGGGTTTATCCTGGTTATTGGGTTGTGCAAGAGAGGCAACAACTCTGATCTTGCTGTGTCACTGTGTGTTGTGATGTGAAATAATTGCCTTGTTATTGTTACATGTCACGGTTGCATTCATGATACCGTTGTATGGACTCCAAGAGTATTGGAGCCCAAGGTACCTATGGACAAGTGGCGAGCTCTTCTCACTTCGATAGGATGGTGATAGTAGCCCTACTGTTGTGTCCCGTGATTCAAGCCATTGGGAAGGCTGCATCATACAAATTGCGAGGTAAGTACGATATCCTGGGAAGTGTACCATCCTTGCAACAAGATTGAGTGTAAGGTGAACGTCCCCTCTCTCTAAGATTGGTCAAGGTGGAGATGTCATCCCGAGGCAGACAACTAGGTGACCTTCATGAACCCATGATACTAGCCTCCAATGCACAATTCTACAATGATCCCGAGGGAGGGATTCCTAGGCCCTGCTCCTGTTCTAGGCAACCAAGTGATTAAGTAGAATGATCCTAACTTAAGAGTGTGCATGTAGAGGAGACATAGGCGAGCTAAAGGCCTGACTATGCTGACTCTAGAGAGACTCACTCACGAGCATTCCTTATGATAATGAGACATGAAGACCATGGCGAGCAAGGGCTCTAGGTAAGCCATGGTGTTGCCAAGTGGACTGCGGTTGAGCCAGCAAGCTTGGCTTCACTTTGTGAGCCACATCAGGCTCTTCATACTTGGACTCATTCACTTTGGAGATCCTACTACTAGGGCTGTAGACGCACTAGTGAGTTGAGTATACCATACTTGGTGGTGTGTATGCCCTCGCCAAGGCTAGAAATGCAACCCCAATTACTCCTATGAGGACTTCGTGGTGCCTCAAAGGACTTCCACGTGGGGGTATGGTGATGATGACATGGCACCTGTAGGGCTTGTAATGTGCCAAGGGTGGTACAAGTACCCACACAAAGGTCTTCCATGTGGGGGTATGGTGATGATGACGTGACACCTGTAGGGCTTGTATGTGCCAAGCGTGGTTACATATACCCACACAAAGTAACACAATCTCACAAAATACATACCTTAAGGACCGTATTTGAATTTTATTATTTTTTTGTTAATTATTTAGATAGGCATTTAAAATTGGACCAATTTGCCACATTTAAAACTTTAAAGAAGAAATTGACAAGATTTAAACTTGGAGGATCGAAGTGATGCTGAGCGCAAACATTAACGACCACAAGTGTAAGTTATCTCTTTTTTTTTTAACTTAGACACACTTTAGAAACTTGAGGGATACGCAAGTCTATAACTTAGAGACACATTGGCCCATCTAAAGGTTAGAAATTAGTGTTCATATTGTATTTTTTATAATTATCTTTGAATAAAGTATTTCGTATTTGACATATAATAAATAAGGGAAAAAAAAAAAAACCAGTGTTTGATCCTTGGTTTTTTTTTCCTGTTTATTATGTGTCAAATATGAAATAAAAGTTTAGGAAATTAAAAAATTCAGGGTTTGATTCAGCATTTTAGAAACGTGAGGGATACGCAAGTCTATAACTTAGAGACACATTGGCCCATCTAAAGTTTAGAAATTAGTGTTCATATTGTATTTTTTATAATTATCTTTGAATAAAGTATTTCGTATTTGACATATAATAAATAAGGGAAAAAAAAAAAAACCAGTGTTTGATCCTTGGTTTTTTTTTCCTGTTTATTATGTGTCAAATATGAAATAAAAGTTTAGGAAATTAAAAATTCAGGGTTTGATTCAGCATTTGATATCAAACATGGAATTTTTAATTTCCTAATTTTATTTATTTTGATTCCAATTTCAACCATCTGTTCAACATTGTTGTCTTTGCTGAAGGAAGAAATTTTTTTTTGGACGCATGGCACTTTTACATTCAGTTACTGAACTTAATATTAATCATAAATTTGAACTTGAGCACAAAAGGTTAGAGCCACCATCTATTTATCATCCATTCAATCAAAACTATTCATCATAAACTTACCATGAACTTGAACACATTGTATTGAAAAACCCACTGCTTGTCACGCAACCACTCTCTTCCAATTTATTTTCAACCTTTCACTGCCTCTCCCTATTTTCTTGTTTCACTGGCGACCACCACACTCCCCTTTCACCTTCTGATTCCACCAGTGATCGCCACCCTTTCCTTTCCCTTCCTCCTCCATTTTTCCCTTCTCTGCTACCCCCTCTCTCTCGCTCGCTCTCTCTTCTTCCGGCTACGCTGATGGAGGTTGGTGACAACTATGGACTGGGGGCTGTGATTTTGTATGTTATTTTTGTGCAATTTGTGCTTATGGGAGGCTATAGTGGTGGATGAGGAAGGATATGGGGAATGGCAACGACCATGGACTGGGGAAAGGGGTGGTGGGGGACGATGAGGCGTGATGGATCTGATGAAGGGGGTAGCGAATCTGATGATGGAGAACATAGTACCTAAAATGCCCTTCTCCTTTAATTTTGTCTAACAGAAACAGACTTGAAACAAAGGTAAAAATTCTTAAATTGAAGACGTTAAAAGTACCAAGTTTGATTTGTTATGAGTGTCAAACCGGGGTTTTTTGTTGTAAATTCCCCTAGTACTTATATAAGAATATATATATTTGGTGTAATTCTCCCAATAATTATATATATATATTTGGGGTCCCAATCCAGTTGAGTTCCGCATTTCCCTCCCCCCCCCCCCACAATTACAGAGAAAGGTCCAAGTTTTACCTTCAATTTTTCTTCTTCTTAGCTAACAATTACTGTCACATGCCTAAACTAGGAAATGAGGTTTTGAATGAGAGCCACTTGATATGCCTGAACTTGTGGCTTTCTTGAAACAATTTGCTTTAGTAGTGATTTTATTATTGTTGGCTATGTATATGCATGTATTTTGAACCATTTGAAATGCTCACCATTTCTCTAATGTGTTCAACATGTTGTTCATTTGGACTAACATGGTTGTAAGTTGGATATATATATGGATGCTCTTGATCATTTTAAATTCCCATATTTAATAAAAATTCATATTGCTAATTGCTTATTCATGTTTTTTTTTTTTCTTGAATTGTTGAACAGACTGTAAGGGGAAAGTGCTTTGAGAAGTGTATCACAAAACCAGGAAGCAGCCTTAGTGGGAGTGAGAGTAGTTGCACATCTAGGTGTGTGGATCGCTACATTGAGGCCACTGGTATTATCAGCAGAGCTCTTTTTAGTTTCCAACGCTAAATGTCATGAAGCGCACACAAATATGCAAACTGTTGAATTTTCAAGGGGGGAAAGAAAAGAAAAGAAAAAGAAAATGAGATAGTTCAAAATTTATGTTAGGGATGGATGCTTTCCTATCAGCCGGAAAATAGTCTGTTTAACTTTGATTCTAATTATTGAACTTGATAATCAGCCATATGTAGCTCTGATTCTCTGTTATTCTGTTTATTTATATATATGAAGGGAAAAAAACAGAAAAAGAAAAAAAGGCTGGGTTGAATTCATGAGCTTGGGTAATTATAAGTAGGTAATGTAATGGATGTTTTTGATTGTATGCTCAGCTGGTATGCACAGCTGGGTGATTATAAAATTTCGACAAATATGAAGCATTGATATGAATTCACTCTGGTCTGGTACCGGACTGGGCGGTTGAATCTGGATCCGTTGGCCACCATGGATCTAAGTCAATGATCAGTGGCAGCCACGGGGTTGGGTGGGTTGTTAAACAGTTGATGCGGGATCGTCATGATCATCTCCAGTAGGGGGTGGTGGCCAAAACTGTTCATACGGTACAAATATTTGGTCGAATCCTTTACTGTATGTATATTAAATTAATTATTTGAAATAGTAGTTACAATATAATTTCCAACATTTAAAATCTTTATTATACTTAAACCTAATTATAAAAAATAAAAAAAACAATAAAAATCTTATTAGTTAGAATAAAATAAAATCACATTATATATATATTTTAAAAAAAATTATTCAAGTATATCAGATCATAGGGAAATTCTTTGAGGTGTGTACCGTATATTAGTATCTTTGTATCTTTGATTATGATCTATTGTATTGTTACTAATGACACTTTATGATTTTGATTATGATATTATTTTAGTTATGATTCAAAAGTTATTTAGTTATACCTAATGAGATGTTTGGCTATAATTTTTTTTTAATTTTTTTTTTAGATAGGACTCTTATAGTATTGAGTCATTTGTGATAATCAAACTTACGAGTGACAACTTACATATGGTATACACCCTCTAGCATTATTCCATTTGTTAGTACAAAAATTGATTTTTGTTCTATAATGAGAATTGGCTTTGAGTTCGTTGCAGTCATCAACAAGGTTGGTGAGCTTTCAAAGTCGGCCAAGACATCATCCAAGGCCTTATGGTCTTGTTTGAAGGTCTGGTACCAGTGCAGAAGAGTCGGAGCTTGCTCGAAAAATGCATAAAATAATCTCAGTCTGAGCAATGTCATTCAGTTCATAGTCTCTAGAAGGATCGTCACAAGCCCATCAGAAGTTCTGGTGAGTTTCCTCATGCAGGTATGGGAAAACAGCAAGAACATTCTTAAGCCTTTCGCTGTTAATGACAGAGGGAATGGGCATTTGTTGATAGGGAAGAAAAAAATGATCCTCCTGGATTGCATTGCAGATCTTAGTTCAAAGACTTGAATCTGAATTGAAAGCAAAAGGAGGTGGTGGTGCATCATCCTGGAAATCAATTGGAAAGTATATATTTCATTCGCATTTTATCCGGTCATCTATATATCTATATATATTACTATAATTGCATTTTATCCACTCATCCATATATCTAATGTATAGTACTATGGTTGCAAAACGTTATTATCTTGTTAAGGTTGAAAGTTGTAATTTTTTTTTTTTTTCATTATCTTTAATTTTTTTTAATGTGTCACAATATGATTGGTCTATAAATTAATTTTATATTTTTAAAATAAAATTTAAAATTTAGATTATGTTATAATAATTAGAATAAGATCAATATTCATTTCTTAATTTATGCATCGTCTATTAAATTATAAAATAAAATTTTAAATTTAAATTCTTCTTTAAATTATGTTGTTACAATTAGAATGAGATTAATATTCACATCTGTCATAATGATATCTCATAATATTATTGGTCTAAACATATTATGCTATTAAATACATGTGTTCAAATTATTAATCCCTATTAAAAGTGTATATTTTTATTTTTTTTCATTTTTTGTTTTAAATTTTATAAATTTTTTTATATCGTTCTAAACTACAAGGATTTGAACTATAAAGTTTTTTAATACAAATATATTTACTTAAATAGTTAAGAAGTTGCTTTTGCTAAAATCAAATAGAAATAATTATTTTTCAATTAAAAGTGATGGTTGGGCAAACTTATTTTATTTTTATATAATAAAAAAATTGGAGTTACACGTGATAATTTATTATTCTAGCAATTCTATAGGCCTACACTTTCAATCACGATAATGTAGAAACAGAGTTGGGCCCCATGTCAATGAGTGTGTAACAAATTAAAAGTTGACACATATGATACCATATTATTGTTGGTATAATTGTAGGTATTTTTTGTGAGTCTCAAACATTTTCCTTAGTATTCGTCTAGATCACTTGCGAAATATGGTAGATCCTGTTAATTTTTTTAATCTCGATTATCAATTAAATAAACTAAAATAAGAAATGAATTTTTTTTTTTTGGGCTCAAAATTGCTAAAATCTGATTTTTACTAAAACAAATAAAAATAAATATTATTTTTCTATTAAAAGTGATGGTTGGTGAAATATCTTTTTTCATTAAAAAGTGGGGTTATAGGTGGTTAATCTATTAGTTATCTAGAATTATTTTTAGATCAAATGAGAACATTATTCTAAATTTTCTTCTCACTTTTTTCAAAATATTTTTTTTATTAAAAAAAATGAAGGTTATAGGTGATAATTTATTAGTCATTGTAGATACTCCATTTTTGACTGCCCTTACGACTTGGACGCCACCAGTTGCACACCCAATGATGAATGTGTGCATGCTTGTCAAGTGCTCGGAGTTCTCAGCAGAATGCCACAACTTTAAGCCTTTAGACCCTATACACTTCTTGCCTTGTTTTGGACCACAACTATAATTCTTCAAGCCTGAAAAATCTTGGGACCTGCTGGCCACAAGTGTGTTTTGGTAGATATTTTTGCCAGCTATGCCAGCTGTTTCCATTGATGCATGCACTTGCTTACACGTGTATGTATTGATATTTCTGAGGGAGTTTGATGTTTGTCTACATATAAGAGACCTCCCCTTCCATCTTTAATGTTGGAGCAAATTATTTTCTCTCTCTCTCTCTCTCTCTCTCTCTCTCTCTCCCTCTCTTTTGCCAGTTATTCAACCTTTGCCTATACACTCTAAACCAAACCTTGCCATCTTTGAGCTGAGGTACTTTTGAGCCTGCTTTGAGCTCTTGAGAGTATGTATGTGTTGAATTGTTGCTTAGAAGTGTTCTCATCTTCAAGGGGTATAAGGCTTGGCTTGTTGCTTTTTTTTGTTTGCTATTTTTCCTACTATTTTTCTACAGTTTTTGAACTGTATAAACTCTGTAATTTTGGGCTGAAACTTGTGGTTTAAGGCCTTAAAGGGTGGAGGGATGGTTCACCTTTCTTTCCACCTTGTTTCTTTAGCTTTTACCTTTGTGTTTCCCACCTTTACACAATCTTTCTTTGAGCTTTTAAATACTAATTTTCAGAGTTTTTTCAGTGGCTAAAATGTTGTTTTGAAGTCCAAAAATGAAGGGGTAGCCTCCTTTCCTTATGCTTTGTTTACTAGCTTACATAGCTCCATGTTTTAGCTTATTATTCTAACTATTTTTGTCTTAATTCCAGCATGTTTTAGGACCGTTTTAGGACTATTTTTACTGGTTCATGGCATTTGAGCCTTGTATTGTATGCTTGTAGTGTAATTGTTCTCATAGGCTTGGTGGTTTAGGCTTTAGCCACCAACCTATTTGAGTTGATAGCATTTGTTTATGGCTTTCCATACTTGTTTTCACCCCTAATCACTTCTGCAACCTCTCTCCTTTCTTGGCTTATGCTTTACTTTGAAAGTTGGTTCAAACTAGTTGCTTGTTTAAAGCATGAGATTGAGGTCTTGCGCTTAATGGTTTAATCCCTTTGGAGGTTCATTACCAACGGCATGACACTTCTCTTATGCCTAAAAGAACTTTTGGTTTGGTGCTCCTTTCCATTAGAGGACTTAAAGCTCACCTTTGGACGTAATTGGTTAAAGAATGGTTGATAATGAAAATGAATGTAATAAAATGAGACTAAAGTGATGCAAGATAATAAGTAATTGGGTGTTCAATCGGACGTTAATTGAACACATGAAAACTTGAGGTATTTCATACTTACTAGTGATGAAATGGTTCAAGTTTCTAAGGTCAACCACTTCCCTTGATCAATCCATGATAGGGAGGAGGTTTGAGAGTCTTTTTTGTTGCATTTATTAAAATTGTATCCTTTGATTCATAAGCCATCACGCAATGAAATTTTATCGATTGATGGTTTGTGAATTGAGCTTGCCACTCCTTTGAGCTGTTTGATGATAAGGAGGGGTAAGTTGTACAAACAACTCTTGAGAATACCTTGTTCTTGCTCTGTATGCTTTCTGTTGCAGTAAGAGGAACCAAACTTTTGTGGCCGGTAGGCCACCAATTCTGGCTGCCAGCCAATTTTGTCAGATTGAGCAGTGACTTTCTGGAGTAGAACAAAGCAGTGTTTGAGGTGAAAAGATGTTCTATTGTGTAACAGAAGCATTCCAGAAGCAGAATGGTGGGCTTTTCGGGTGGAAATCCATGGATGCATAAGTATTTCACTTACTTATTGAGGCTTGTTTGCTTGTGGACTCGTAACAGTTAGCTAGTTAGTTAATTTGTGCTGTAATTAATTAGTTAGAAGTTGTTAGTTAGTTTGTGTTGTAAATAATTAATTAGCGTAGCTAGTTTGTTGTAATTAATAGTTAGTTAGATTAATTAATTTTGTGTTGTAATTATTAATTAGTTAGAGTAGTTAGTTAATTCGTTTTGTAATAGCTAGTTAGTTTATACGGACCCTCCTGCACAAGGGTAAACAATTGTAATAATGTGTATGCCTTCTAACCCCACGTCTTTCTCCTTTTTATTTATTTGCTTATGATGGTTAGTTTAGGACATCATGTTTCGTTTAGCATCTCTCATGCCTTGCATCCATTGTCTTGCTTGCATTAAACTTGTCGCATCATTCTAACTTGCATTGTTAGTTGAATACTTCTTTGAATACGTGCATAGACCACATGCTATCAAATTGATTCATATGCCATATTAGTAGTCGAGTCTAGTAATTGCATATCACATGTGATGCATTAAGTCATATTGCAGTTAGGATCATGCATTTTTCTAAGTCTTTTATCTTTTTGGCTTGCCTTGGAGTTCTAGGTGAGCTTTTTTTTGTTTTAGGATATTGAATGAAT